ATCTTGTGGCGCTGTTAAATTTTTTAGAGAAACAAAAGGATTCTGTTGTTCAAATGGGCAAGTTCTTCTAAAAACGAACGATGTGCCCCTAGAATTATATACATTGTTTACTTCAAACTCTGAAGAATCTTTGAACTTTCGAAAAATGGTGCGAAGCTATAATTGTAACTTCTCTATGACATCATTTTGTGTAAATTATAATAAAACATTATTCACAAACTATAATGGTATTTATACATTTCGAGTTCAGGGTCAGGTATACCATTTTATAAATGAAATTATTCCAAGGGACAATCGTCCTTCTCATTTGCAGCTTTACTTTTTTGATACTGATAATGAAGTGCAAAATAGATTAAGTTTGAGTGAATGGTTAATTGAATCTGTTGTTGTGAAATTGATGAAGATTTTAGAAAATAATCCTTATACATCATTTTTTCGAACTTTGGGGACTATTCCTGATTTAGAAAATCAGTCTATTCAATTAAGATGTAATCCAAATACTGATCAAAGGACATTTAATACACCCAGTGTTTCACAAGTTGCTGCTATTTGGGTTGATCACGATGAGTGTGGTGATCTTCATATGCGTGATATTGTAGTTCACTGTAAAGATGGAAACCACAATAGAATACAATATTATTATGGATGTTATGACCCACTTCAATATCCACTTCTGTTTCCTTATGGTGAAATAGGTTGGCTCCAAGGTATTCATCGAACAAATACGGACAAAAAAAGGCCACCCATTTGCATAGAAGAAAACATTGTTGATCCAGTGAATTTTTCGTCTCCCGAGGAGCTAATTGAAAAAGAAACATTGGGTTAGTTTATGTTATGCAACAATTTTACTTTGGGTTATGCATTAAAACATATCTTATACAATTATGTTTTGTTTTTATATAGTGTGATTTATTAACGTTTTTTAATTAAAAAATGCAGTGATGCAGAGTAAAAAACCTAGGATGCAAGTATCATGTAGAGAATACTATTGTTATAAATTGCAAATAAGATCATCGTCAACTTCGATATTATTACATTCTGGAAGATTATTACAACAATACGTCGTTGACATGTATGTGAAAATTGAAACATCTAGATTAGATTATTTCAGACATAATCAGAGTGTACTTCGAGCTGAATTATATCAAGGAATTGTTGATAGCCTTGAGATTGGTGAAAAAAGAGGTAGTAAAATTGGTCGCTTAATTGTTTTGCCTCGATCTTTTATTGGTGGTCCTAGAGATTTGAAAAAACGTTATATGGATGCTATGTCTTTAGTCCAGAGATTTGGTAAGCCTGATATATTCTTAACGATGACTTGTAATCCAAATTGGCTAGAAATTAAGGAACAAATGAAGTATAATGATGAAGCTCAAAATAGACCCGATTTAATAGCCCGTATTTTTAGAGCAAAACTTGAACAATTGAAGGAAGATATATTTAAAGAAAAAATATTTGGGCATGTTGCTGCACATATATATGTTATAGAATTCCAAAAAAGAGGGCTTCCACATGTGCATTTTTTACTCATCTTAGAGAGTAATTGTAAAATTACATCTCCTAAATTGGTTGATAAATTTGTCAGTGCTGAGATCCCTGATGAAATTCAATATCCTTATCTACATTCTCTTGTTGTTAAACATATGATGCATGGTCCATGTGGAGTTTTAAATGCAAAAAATGTTTGTATGAATAATAAAAATAAATGTAGATTTAGTTTTCCCAAAAAATTCAATGAAAACACTATTATGGATGAAAATTGTTACCCTAATTACAAGCGATGTGATAACGGGAAAAAAGTGAAGGTTAGAAATCATTTTTTAGATAACAGGTGGGTTGTTCCATACAACGCATACTTATTAACGAAATATAATTGCCATATTAATGTTGAGATATGTTCATCAGTTCAAGCGGTTAAATACTTATATAAATATGTTTATAAAGGTCACGATAGAATTACATTTGCTGTTAATGAAAATGGCCTTGATTTTGTTTATGATGAAATTAAAATGTACCAGTCAGCTAGATGGGTATCTCCACCCGAAGCTGTATGGAGAATTTTTGGATTTCTTTTATATGATATGAATCCTTCTGTTCTTGCTCTCCAATTGCATCTAGAAAACTACCAATCTATTACATATAAAGAATTTGATGATTTAGAAGGAATTGTGAAAAAAGATTATTTCAAAAAAACAATGTTGACAGAATATTTTCGGATGAATGTTAGTAATTCCAGAGCAAAAACGTTGTTATATAGAGAATTTCCAGAACATTTTGTGTGGAATTCACAATGTAAAACCTGGTCTGAGAGAAAAAAAAAAGGCTTTCTCAGTAGGACGAATTGTTTCTGTAAATATTATAGAAAGAGAAAGGTATTATTGAAGAAAATTGCTAAACCATGTGAAGGGAGCTATTTCTTATGTAGATTTAAAAAATGTTAACGGAATTCATGCTTCGACATTTCGTGAAGCTGCATTATTGCATGGTTTGCTTAATGGTGATACTGATTGTGAAATGTGTTTGCAAGAAGCTTCTCAATATCAAATGCCATCAACATTACGTGAATTGTTTGCCACAATTTTGACGTTGTGTGATCCACATGATCCCCAAAAATTATGGAATAATTTTAGACAACATATGATAGAAGATTATACAACAGAAGGTATGAATGCTAAAGGAGCCGAATTAAAGGTCTTAAATGATTTGAATGACATATTACAGCTTTCTGGTAGAACTATAAATGATTATGGAATAGTTAAACATCATATTTTGTTAGAACAAAACGATCATGTTTCAAAGACTATTACGGACGAATTACATATATTAGTTTCGGATGAAGATCGTTTAAGTGAAACCAAATTAAATTCAGAACAAAGAGAAGCATACAATATTATTTTAAATGATGTTTTCAAGAAAATTAGTGGCGTGTATTTTATTGATGGTCCGGGAGGAACAGGAAAAACCTTTTTATATCGTTCTTTACTTGCAGCTGTAAGATCTAGAGGAATGGTAGCTTTGGCTACTGCATCTTCTGGGGTGGCAGCAGGATTACTTCCTGGAGGTAGAACTGCTCACTCGAGATTTAAGCTCCCACTTCAGGTTAGTGGCAAATCGACTACTTTTGTTAGTAAACAATCATCTTTAGCTGAATTATTGAGAATGACACAATTAATAATATGGGATGAAGCTCCTATGTTAAATAAAGCAGTCATTGAATCGTTAAATGAGATGTTACAAGATATAACTGAAATTAAAGATCCATTTGGAGGGAAAGTCGTAGTTTTGGGAGGTGACTTCCGTCAAATACTACCCGTTGTTCCCAAAGGACAAAAAGAGGATATTGTTGATGCAACATTAGTAAATTCGTACTTATGGCCATTTATTAAAAAAATCAAATTAGTTCAAAATATGAGAGCTCAATTAGATTTACCTTTTTCTGAGTTTTTACTTCGAATTGGAAATGGAATAGAACCTTTACATTCATGCAATATGATTAAATTTCCAGATGAAATGATTATTCCATATGATAATGAAATCACTTCTGTAGAAAATTTGATAGATGTTGTGTTCTCTGAATTAAATACCTACCCAGATAATATTGAAGCTATGATTAATAGAATCATATTATGTCCAAAAAATGAGAGCGTTGATTTTCTAAATGCTATGTTAATCGAAAAGTTCCCAGGGGATTCTGTTAAATACTACAGTTTTGATGAACCAATGAATTTAAATTTACAATCATTTGACGAGGACTTTTTTAATACATTAACTCCTAATGGTGTTCCACCACATGAATTAATTCTGAAAAAAAAATTGCCCAATTATGTTATTGAGAAACATAAATCCATCTGAAGGTTTGTGCAATGGAACTAGGCTTATTTGTAAAAGATTTGATCGAAATATAATTGATGCTGAAATTGCTGTTGGACAATATAAGTACAAAAGAGTTTTTCTACCCCGTATACCATTTGTGCCTCTTGAAAATGATATGAATCCAATTAGATTTAAAAGAACTCAGTTCCCAATCCGTGTGTGCTTTGCTATGACTATAAACAAAGCTCAAGGTCAAACTCTTGATTTTGTTGGATTATATTTACATGAACCTGTATTCTCACATGGACAACTTTATGTGGCATTATCAAGAGCAAAAAACAGTAAATGTATCAAAGTTCTTATGAAACCAACTGAAAATAAAACAATGCATTGCACATGTACGAAGAATGTTGTGTATAAGGAAGTCCTATCTGCAGTTTCTTCCATGTGACAATAATGTAAGTCATCTTTTTATTTTCATCAATTTACTTGTCATGTCAAAAAAATTGCTTCGTGTAGCACACAACAATTTTTATTATAAAAAAACAAATATTCATTTTAATTGCTTTCGTTTAATTGCTTTTGCAGGTGCACATGTTCACCCATGATACTATCTAATTTTTCATTCTTCCAGAGCTTCAACAATTGCAAGTGCGTTATATAAAAAATTACGTGCTTTTTGTATCTACTGGTATTGATCAGTCTATTATACATTAACTGTTCCTTAACCAACTAATTAGTATAATTAATTGACTGAAAAAACTGTTTCATGAAATTGGAATTACCTTTTTTCCTCTTTATTAATAATTATATGGATTTTTTTGGGCTCTTAAAGCTATTTTCTGGCTTCCTTAATTTCAGCTCATTTTAAACCTTCATTTATGTCTGGTAATTACAGATTAGAACAAGAATCAGGATTCTTCTTCAAATTTTATGCCCGCTCAAAGATTGATGAAAAATCTCAAATTTTACAAAAAGTTGCTGCCCAGGAATCTAGGCATCGGAAGACACTGAGGTCATTTGTTTAGACATTCTATTTATTAGTTTTTAATGTACAAAATATGATTCATGTGCATTGATGCTTGCTAAATATTCGAAGTTTTATTGGATATATTACTTAAAATGGTGACTTAACATTCTTTGACACTGATGATGTAGAAAAAAAAAATTCTCCAAAGAAAGCGAGGATGATTAAGAAGGGGAATCGAGGTACCAATTTAATGAATGGAAGTTTGATAGAGACACTTATAGTTCAATCAGAAGATCTTGTACAAGTTGTTGCAAAGGCAAGTAGCTTTTGGTTTTTTCATTTTTGGAAGTTCAAATAAACGTGATGATTTGATGTCTGATGAGAGTTTTCTGTAATAAATTTTGGTATATGTTTAGGGAGTTCCTCTTCCTGCAAATGGAATTACTGGATACGGAGGGGGTGATCGTGTAGAGGATATTGCAGACATCAATGAAGGCTTAAAGAGAGAGGAGAAAGCGACAGAATCGAACGAGTCCAATGGGGATAAAAGCCACAGAAGTCAAACAAGGTAAAATGTCTACAACACTTTTCTCAGCCAGTATTATTTGGCAACTCAAGATTCATCTTCATCTATGGAATAGGAGATTTTTGGGGTGGGACTATGAAGTATTTGAAAAAATTCTGCACACAAAAATAATCTTAAAAAATCATCCAATATTGATTACATATAGATTTCAGTAAGATGCTTTGGACCTTTTAATTTGTTGCTTCAGAAATTAGTTTGTGGGGGCCATCCTGATAAATAGAGAAGTTGTGGAGTATAAAGTCTTAAGATACCCTTTACATGCAGGCCTTCTGCCAAAAAGGAGAGTGGTTTTGATTGCATTTCTACAGCTCAGAAGGCAAATGTCGCAGCCAATTCTGCAAGAGATTTTTCAGAGGTGAATATTATTAAAGTAAAAAATGGTGAACATCCCCGCTGATAAGAAATATGCACGGCTACTGTTTTGTAAAATGGAACGAAATATGCAATTTGTTCAATTTTCTGAATTTGTGCATGAGCATTTTTTAAATTTCCTGCTGCATATCATTAGAATCACTTTTCGAAATATGCAATTTGTTCCATTTTCTGAATTTGTGCCTGAGCATTTTTTAAATTTCCTGCTGCATATCATTAGAATCACTTTCAACTCTGAGGTGGTTGGATTAATATTTTACCAATCTTTTGCTGATGCAGAAACAAGAAGTACTCACTGTTTGATGGAAGGTAGAGATTACCATTAAAATTGCTTTTCTTTTTCTCTAAAATTCTCTGTTGCATAACCATTAGTTTTGGCATGTCTTCACTATTGCGCTTGCATTTGCTTACTGAAGCGACACATGCTTTTGCAAATACTTCTCGCATTTTTTGCAAACTGGTTTTAAAATCACGCCTTCATACACCACTCTCTTTTTTATTCGAACTAAATATATTCTGGACTTGCTATCCTCCTTATTTGTATTTTGTAGTGTATAACTTATAATCTTTTTTTTTACAGGTGCATTTAATTTCGTTCTTAATCCAACACTGAATCTGAAGATGCTTGGTCCTTTGCATGTAAGGCCAATAAATATATGTTGCCATACTCTTTTACTTTTGGGTCAGTAAGCAAAACCATTTACGAAGGAATTCCTACATTAGAGACTGTTGTTTTCCAGAAGATTTTTACATGAACGTCATTGACGTACTGACACCTATACTCAAATGCGTCTCAAGTTGCTCAAATTTCCACATAAGAAGTAGAAATTGATGCAATAACCAAGTAGAAATCGTGCTTTCTTCAACTTTCTTTGTGGACTTGGTATCTTTTCGATTTACTACAGCATTGCTTCAATATGGTAGTGAATAACTCTGTGTATTTTGATGACAAACCTAATCTGGACTTCATTTTGATGCTATGGTAGTGAATAACTCTGTGTATTGTGCTTCTCCCCAGTTATTTTGAGGCTGCAATGGAGGGTTTGGTCATGCTTAGTGAAATAGTATAAGAGGGAAATGTTGGGTTCGGTGAGAATAAGAGTAAAATTGGTGCCTTTTTGGATCTGATGAATATTCATTACTTGGAACAATTTAATGTTATTTTTGCCATTGTTCAATTGTGGAATGACATAAATTATAACGGTAATCGTGCAACGCACGATCCTCACTAGTTTATTTAAATGTCCATAAAAATATCAATCCATTACAGCAATACTTTATGGGCACACAGCCCCACACTCTGGAATTATTTTAAAACAAAAACATTCTATTTTGACATAGAATGTTTCATGTTCATCAAAGCAAGATAAACAAGCCAAATTAAAGAAGTCGAAACGTGGCTTTTGCAACAGCCCACACAGGAAAATTAGGAAACAAACCGAACAACATGACATACATGCCTTATTCGACATAACATTGCAGATGAAAAGGATTAAGCAGCAATTCTTAGCCTTTTCCCAGAGCCTTGACGTCCTTCTTCAGTTTCTTGAGCTTGGTTCTTTGTCTGATTCTTGTCAAGGAATTGCATCCACCATTCAGTTTCTTGAGCTTGGTTCTTTGTCTGATGCTTGTCAAGGAATTGCATCCACCATAGAGCTGAACTTTTCGGGAATCTTGTCAAACGGCCATTCTCAAAGTCTACTAGGAAAATGCCAAATCTAACTGTGTATCCCTCGCACCATTCGAAATTGTCAAATAATGACCATGCGGAGTAACCCTTCACATGCACATTCTTTCTGAAAAGGAAGGAAACTTGTCAATTAATTTCATAATTTTCAATTTGTTTAGAGTTGAATTGATATAATGACTAGTATGCAATTAAAATTAACGATGACTTACTGCACCATCGCCATTTTAAGGTTCCAGAGATGGTCATTGTGATATTTAATCCTTATGTCATCAGAAAGACAACTTGCAATATTTTTGCTTTTATTGTTCTTTTCATCCACCCCTGTACAAAATTATGGGGGATATTGCTTTCAATAAATCACATTGTGTTAACATATTTAAAATTAAGATATTTCTAACTACATAAATATATAAGTTATTTACCATTCTCTGTAATGTAAATGATAGGGTCGTGATATGTTTCCTTTGCATAACTCATGAGATTGAAAATTCCCCAAGGAACAATGTACAACCAATCGGAACCGCCCTAATACAAAAGATTATTGTCATTTGATGTTCTTATATTATATAAGCATTAGAAATTAATTAAATCATGTTAAGTACTTTAATGTGTTAATGTATACATTAATTCGGACATGATGATGGATTACAATAATTTTTTGAAGTAGTTTCAAGTCCAATAAAAATTTTTTACAGCGTAAACATTTGCAATAGTCTCAACTATTTTATGTCAAATTTGGCTTAGTTAAAGGCATACCTTTCGACCAATTGGTACCCCATCACGTTCAGCTACAAAAGATTGATAGAGTGAGTATTGTCATACAAGAGTCCAATATACTGATAATGTATATTAGTGTACTTACTCAAAGGCTTAATTCCCTGGTCTGTCACGTAATTTGGTGGTCCAAGAATATGATAATCAACAACATAATAAGCGGTGTAATAATTTATGCCTAAAAAATCATATGATCCTTTCACGAGCTTCTCTTGATCATCTGTAAATTTAGGAAGACGTTCTTTTACATTTTCTCTCATAGCTGGTGGATATTCACCTGTTACCATTGGTTCTACAAACCTGAAAATAAAAAAATAAAGAATATTGTTTTTAATTACGAGATATAAAATTTGTGTACTGATTTAAGATTAGTAAATAGATGACTTCCACGAAAATAACAATATGGTCAACAGGGACATTTAGATGACCATACATCAAATTTGGCGTTATATATATTTTCTGCACTTGTTTTTTTGTTTTGTGAAGATTCTATATTATTTTGCTGTGTGGGGTTTTAGTTTATAATCATTGGATATAACAAATTGTACGTTTTTGTGACATTAATTAGTTAGTGGACTAAATATAGAAATTAAGGCCTATAAACTACTGCACCTACTTACCATCCCAGCATAAATTGGAGGGCCCTTGAAGAAGCTTCTACATCCTCTCTCTTGTCAGTAAGAGGCTCATACCAAGCTGCGACATTTGTCATTCCTATTTGTCCTCCTTGAGTTCCCTGAACATACAAATCATGTATCTATCTATGTATATAAACTGCTACAGAAACTCGAAATATAAATTTACCTGATATTTTGTCCTGTATATATCAACAGCATTTGCATGAGCAAGGATCAAATGGTGTGCCACAATATATGGTTCTGTTCCTGCATTTCCGTCTTTGGTAGGAATTGGGGCCCCACTTCTTGATCTATGTATGGGGAAGTTGATCAGACTGATAATGCCCGCATCCAGATTTGCAGTTCCACCTCTATTAGGAGGAAAATTACCATACACATATCCTTGAACAGTAAAGGACCATGGCTCATTCAGTGTTATCCAACGTTTCACTCGATCGCCGAAATTCCAAAAGCAGACCTCAGCAAATTCACGAAAATCTTGCCTGCAAAAATAACGGGACAAATCCGAAATTAGTTTTCTTAAACATGTATCTCCCAACAAAACGTGACGCATGCAGGATTGAGTTACTTACAGAATTTGATCGCTTAAGAAGCCTTGATATTCTAGTTCCAAACATTCAGGAACATCCCAGTGGAATAGAGTTACGCAGGGCTCTATGCCTGCATACATGTAGCTCTTTCTTCATCTGTTTCTTTAAATCTCGTTGGCAGACTTACAGTGTGATTAATCTTAAAGAAAAATGAATTTTTAGGAAGCTATTTTGTGAAGATATTTGGCACTTAAGTGGACGAAGCAATAATGGAAGTGAACTTGTACTCCTAGAGACGGAGAGGAGGACGGATTTGATAACGCCAACAACAAGAAATTGTGCTGGTGAGTTCGACAAAAACTAGGTTAGGCATTGGTGTAATGGCGGAATGTTTTATCTCAGGTTTCGGTTTCCATTTTTCAGTTGTAGTGGAACAAGTAGTTAACTTTACAAGCTTTGGAACTGATACAATATTGAATTATCTTATCTAAATTTTAGTTCTTAAGTGGTCGAACATGTCATTGACTTTTTAGATGATATTGTTTAACATGGTGCAAGGTGCTTCAATCTTATATTGTAGTATACAAAAGTTATAAATTCAAGTCTCCCTACCATCTTTTTATAAAAATTTGCACATAAGTCAAAACTTTTGATGGAAAAAAAATAAATTAATTAATTAATCTTTGTGCATAAGGAGATCATGAAAATAAAAGCTTTATAAATAAATTAACTCTTGTGAAAAAAATGAACACCAATGGCTAAAGAAACAATAAATACAATAATTAAATGTATAATTGACTCTTACCTGCTGCAAAGAGTATGTCTATCAGATCATTATAGTACTTAATTCCTTCTTTGCATATACCTTTACATATTCTACCTCCTAAAAATACAAATATAAAACACAAAAAAAATATAAAAACATTAGCGAGAACTTCATTGGACATTACAAACTAAACGATACACAAATTCTAGATCATTCACCGTGCAATAATAAAATATATTAGCTCCTTGAGGTACCTGGCAAGATTCTAGTCCATGCAATTGAAAATCTGTAAGAATCTAAACCCAGTTTCTTCATCAAATCCACATCGTCCTGTAATATAAAAGAGGATTAATACGTGCACCTCACCTCATTGTTTCAGTTAAATAAAAGAAACCTATTTAGACATATTGATATTACATGCCAGATGTAGAGTGTGAAAATGAATTTTATCGACTACTTCTAGATATTTAAAAAATACGTACTTCTATTAAATCAATAATAATGCTATATAGCATAACTAATGATAAAAACCAATCTTAAGTGTCATCAATCAATAGGACATTTTAAATATAGAAATCAAGGTATCAATTGAAATTTCTTTAAGGGTCCGTTTGATTGCAATGGTGGAAAAAAAATGAATTACTGGGAAAATAATTACCTAAAAATTATTTTACAGAGAATTGTTAATTAACCGTGTTTGATTGGTACAATTTTCCACCCGAAATTTTTTTAAAATTTTGTGTTCGTTTGACTTTGTTTTATATGAAAATTGTCTATTAAAGTGATTTTTTTTTCCACAATTGGTTATAAAATTTGTTTCCATTGCCAAAATGTAAAAAAAAAAAAAAGAAAAAAAAA